AAGGATTTACAAGTCGGGGAAATTGTACGGTTAGAGTTTCTTTATCTACGCCAAATATATTTTCTTTTCGATCGACCGGCCTATTGTTGCACAACCAGATGATTTTCCGTGACATCGCGTATTTTTCGTGTTTATCTATTAGTTTATCTATTACACATCTACTTTGTTATAAAATAAAAATAAAATTTAATTTGTCATATGGAGGAATACGTTAAAATACTGCAAGAAATGATTCTTGATGATGACTTTATAGTCATAAAATTTTTCAGGAGAATTGATTGCGCATTTTCTCAAAAGGATCAGGCAAAAGAATGTTTTCGAGAGGCATTAAAAATCCTTGCCTCAAAGGATGATGAGTACTCGCGAAAGGCTAAAAACCTTCTAGGTAACTTTGATAATTACACGAACTCCTATTCTGTAAGGCAATATTGGGACGGCCTCAAAATACGTGAAGAACGAGACAAAACACGCACTGATCAATTTCTTTTAGAAGAAAAAAAGGTTAGCATCTACATCTTGTATTGTAGGTTATAATTACTAACTTAAATGTGAACCATTTAGGAACAACATCTTTGTCTCATTGACTCTAATGTGATTACCGAGCATAACCAATCAAGCAATCGATTAACATTAGAATCATCAGAATCATCAGAATCAGTCAGTTGATAGGGTTGATTTATATCAATTCATGAGCTTATGCAACATTGTTCATCGATTAATTTTCGAGCGTTCTTATTTGATATATTATCTAGGACGTATCAGCCACGTCCAAACAAAATCGGTATACTTTGAGGCGAAAAAGAAGCCTAGATATTGATGAAGAACAAATTATGAAAAAGGTTAATCGTGGTTATGACACTACACCATGCCCACGTAGTCCAGATTCGTATCTTCCAATGTAGGGTGGGTTATTACTGACTTTTGATCTCATCAATGGCGATTACTGGAAACTTTTCAATAATTTCAGAAACAATTCCGGCAACGATGAACCTGTTGATATTATCGTAATCTCTGATGATGAACCTACTGACGATAAAGCTACTAACGATGAAGCTACTGACGATGAAGCTATTGATGATAAAGCTAAAGATTACAGGATAAGTTTTAATTTTGACGAGCTTGAAAGACAATTGGGAATAGAAAGCAAAGATCAAGTACGCTGTAAATCGAATCTATTTATGTTATTATAATACTATAATTTACTTTATTATTTTTGTGTCTTAGTGGAAAGTTGGTAATATTGATGTCACGGAAAAGTTTAGACAATATCAACATAACCTTCTGCACGATGTAAAATACGGTATTAAAGTTTTAACATGGAAGGATATTTTTGATGTATTGTAGGTATTAACTGTTGATTAAGTATTCTAAAATATTGTAATATATATCTTTTCCATTATATTTTAGAGCCTTGGGATCAATCATTGTTCTCGATTGGCCCTGTCCTTATAATGTTTTTTCATCTGACGAATGGCTTGCAATAACAAATAATAATCCTTTTAAATTGACAGAGCCGGTGTTAAATAATAATTTAACATCGTTATTATACGATGCAACTTCTAAAGCATCATTAGGATTAACAACCAACTTTAGAAATACAAATTGTAACGATAGACATAGCCAATTAGCTAAACGAATTTTTTGTGACTTGTAAGTTAGAATCTTACGCGTTTTTGTTACCAAATGAAAAAGATTGGAAAGCTAACCTTTTTTACTCTCTAGAGTTGACGATGTTCCAGTTATAGCTCCACGCAGAACATTCGAAGACGAACATAGGTTTCAATTCCTAGATCCATTCCTTAAACCTATATTTGGCGGACCATATAAAAACTATAATCTGAGATTTAATCGTATTGTCTATGGGACCCAAAAGAGACCAGACTTTTCTTGCATTGTAGACGAAGTACCAATTCTCAACTCGGAGGTAAAACCAATTGGATACACACGACTACAAAAAGATAAGGATTACATTAAAGTAAATCTTCGGGCAAAAAAGACAATAAATATTTTAATCAAGAATGGAGGCGTCACTGATCAAACGGCATTTTTTATTAACATGGGTATATATCATATAATTTTCTATCATTTATTTTCGTTATATTCACAATCGTTCATTTGAAATTTAGGTAAAACCGTAGAATCATTCATCATGGATCTTGAGTATGAAGGCATATACCGATCCTGGCCTTTTCTGAAAAGTGATCTCGTAATCGATAGACAGACACTTCCTCTTCTTACTTCAACGTTTTCTCACTTTGTCGCTTTAGAGGTATACAGTGTGCTACATTTTATCCTTATACAATAAATTTTGCTCATGATCGCATCATTTTTTGTACTTCTAGAGGCATGTCAATAGTCTGGCGAGAGATTATAAAGGTCGACCACGGTCATCAGAACCAGTAAAGAAAGATAAATTTATTAGAGATCTACCTGATTCTCCTCAATTGAAACGGCTATTAAAATGAAGATTTAATTTTTACATATATTTCTATATTAATGAAGTTATTGATTATCTTTTTGCTCATAATCAAATTTGGTTCGTTGACTAAGAAATTTAGTTACAGGTTTGTATCACGTGATGATGTAATCGTGATTCGTGAAATTAGTCGAGTTTAGCACTTATTTTATACATAAAATAAAGTATTCGTTAATCGGTTTGGCTTTATTTTTAAATTGTGCTAAAATGGCTTGTAATTGTTGCTAAACCTTGAAGCGTGTGATGTGCATTGGAATAATAAAAAAAAGTATATTGATCCTCCACATGTGTTTGGCAGATTCTGTCTAACTGCATTGATGCACGAGCCAATTGTGAACCATGGCTGAACCTCACAGTTGGTGAGCGCAGTAATGTAATACATAAAGATTCTTCTGCGTCATCTAAGCCACCATCATTATTGTGTGTTAATCTACCTGCAGTTATAGAAGATATTGGTAATGGTAACTTAAATAGCAATGTGAAGCAGTAAGATGGAATCGTTTAGGGGCCGGCGTGATTCCTCCCTTTAAATGAGATCTACTCCAATATTTTTTATTAGTTTCATTTTTTACTTAACTGGCCAGCCCTTTCTTACGTATTACTTTACAAAATTATAATAAAAATAGTTTTTTAAACATGTTACGTATTTTAAAAGTTATATTTATTAATTACATTTGCTTATTAACACAGCTATAATAGATCATTAAGATGCTATAGATACTATATAATATTAATACCATATTTTCTTATTGTTCTTTTAAACTCTCTCCTTTTCCACCATAATTAATAGTAACATTAATTACATTCGCACTTTGAGAAAATGCGAAAAGTGTTGGAGTGGCAGGTCTGCTTGAAGCATCTCCAGCAGAAGTCTCAATAGAAGGCGTTACTGGTCTTGATTTTGGTGGGAAGATCTCAAATAAATCTGTGATGCCTGATGTTCTAGTGTTTGATAAGCAAGATGATGAACTCATCCTTCTTGATCCCTGAACACTTCTACTATATGCTTGTTCGAATAGTAGTTCTGGCATATAAAATAGATATGTTATTATTAATGAAAAACCTTTCGAAAAAAATTTTCTGAAAGCATATCAGGCTTTAGCCAAAACTTCGATGAGAATTCTTCATAAATCTCTTCACCAACTAGGCTTCTTTTGTTTCCAGTCCCTTTTTTATATTATTTCGCTATCTAATAATAATAATAATAAACATTATTGACCAGTCAGGTCTTCATAAAAGATAAGCGGGATACTACTTACGTAAAAAGCTTTTATAAGACCTAAGAATTTTTTATGACAGGCTTCACCAGTGAAGTAATTAGTATTTTCTTGATCATTTATTTTTTCTACAATATCATTCTAAAAAAGATACTTCTTTTTATTTGTAGTAGTATAATACTCTGCATTTCTATTTTTTTGTTCATCAATAAGGATGCGAAGTTAGGCATCAGAAAGCTTCATAGTATTTCTTTTTACATAGTGAGAAGATTCTTTAAGGGTCTGTTTTATAAAACAATATTGAGTGATATGTTAGATCATTGTGAGGCAAATTAATTGATCAATGATCAAATAATTAATGGTGGCTTAACTATTACATCAATAGATCAAGGAAGGTGAAATCTGATTGATCAATCATTTCGTGATTTATAGAAATTTGCTAGCTTTTGAAACACTTCTAGAATTATCGAAGAACTGACAGAGATTTAGGATGATACATGTGATATGATATATGTCATATTACAAACTGATTTAGCCAGGTGTCATGCATATGCATGTAAATATAAAATTAGATCCCTTTAGAATATCCTATATATATATATAAATCCTGATATGCTTATAATTAAATAAAAATAAATCTGATATTTATTATAGTATAATATTGTTAAATCAGCTAAAATCACTAAAATACTATAAAATTATTATAATTTATTATAATCTACCAAAATGCTAATATGGATTTAAATAGTAAAGCCCAATATAAGCTTATTAGTATAAGCTATAATGATGTAAACTTCAAAGAATATAGAAGAATATTAGAAGCATTATGTCTTTTAGCTGAATGATATAATCATGAAACTCAGAAATGTGATGCTTTTATATCTATGATCTATTTAGAAAAATACTTGAAGAAAATCCAAAAATCCTTTCTAAGAATAAATATATTATAATGTGTGAAAAGCTTTATAAAAATAATAAAGTCCATACTAATTGAATAATTATATATATTATAATATATGTGACTTATTAGTTTTCATACCTGCAACTTTTTATAGCGATAGACGTTATTATAATAGTACTTAAAAAATGTATTTCTGGAAATACTATTTCAAATGAATATGTAAGAAGAAATGAAATTCTCTAATCTATTGATACAAGGGAATTTCAGATCTGGTAATATAAATAATAGATATTATAAGAAAAGGCTAAATTAATTGTCTTCATCTAAAAATTTTCTCCCAATTTATCTCACACTTAGAAAAGGATAAATTGGTATTGATATTATATAATTATAATACTTGTACAATTCTCTATGAAGTTTATGCATAGGCTAAAGCAACTATAGCAGAAAATACTATGCTAAGTGCTTCAAATTTTGAGCCAGCTTATATTTCACCTACCAGACAAGAAGTAATTTCACTAATTTCTTATCAATTATTGAATTGTAAAAGTGATACAGACAAAATATTTATTTCGTCTTAGTATGTAAAAGAAAATAACTTACTATCATTTGTAAACTATTTTAATCAGCCCATATTAAGATTAAGAGATGAGACAAAAATCACATTCGTTTAACTGACTTATTCTGAGAAATATATTAATTATAAATTATTGCTTTCAATCAAAAATTAATATCATTTAGCCAAAATGCAATATATAACATTCTTTATTTTTTGCATTATATAATCTGCATACATGATCGCCTAGTAAAATTGTGAAATATATCATCTATCAGATAAAAAAATATGATCTGCATATACTAGATTAGATCCTCTAATATATTATTTTAGTGAAGTATTTCAGGAAAATCTATAAAGCGATCTTGAGAATTCTTGATTGTAAGATAATATAACTATTAGTTTGAAAATTTTTATGTAACAGTTATTCAGCAAACTTATAGAAATTACAAGAAAAGGCCTAATTTTTTAGCAAAATGAGTTTAAAAGGTGATGAGAAATGATAATACTCCTGATGATATAAAGTTTTTAGATATAAAAAATAAATCAGGATAATCAAAATATATTTGTTATAGGTATAAAAGATATTGTTATTCAGTAAAAAATGATTAGATATATGAAAAGAGAGCCCAATTATGACAACAATCATCTTTTGTAACATTTATATTTGTTAAAAAATTATTATATTAGCAAGGCTATATAGTTGTTAGAAATACATATTAACTTGACATATTAAAATGGCTACGGAATCCCAAATATTATATTATTCATAAAAAGTATAATTTTATATACTTCATCAAAATTTTAGAATATGAGGCATATAAGATTAAATTATCAGAAATAAAACCTATATGTGATTCACCATTAAAATATATAGATCATATTTATAAGAAGAATATTATCGTGAATTTCACAAACTTAGATGATAATTATGAGTTTGTGTGCTGAATTTTTCAGATCAGACCTTGACTCAGATCCTAAATATTGTATTAATAAAATAATATATTGTTCAGCCATGTGAAGTGTCTCAAGACCAATGCATGAAGGTATGTGTGACATAAATTAGCATATTTTTGATCTTCGTTAAAGTATATATAATGTAATAGGTGATATACCGCCAAATTATTTGTAACTCTGTATGACTACTTATATAACACCCTTTGATCTATCGATCTACATATTGAATTGGTTTCTTCATTCTAAAAAAAAAATTTTTTGAATAAGTGGGTATTTACTGATATGTATTTTACTTCAAAAGAACAGGTTCTCTGATACCACTGATTTTGAGCAGAATATATTTATATAATATTACTAGGTCTTAGTAGTATAACTAGAGTTCTAGACGAGTCGAGTTAACTCACGAGTCAGATAAGCTGAGTCAAGTTAATATTTTTTTGACTTGATGATTTGCGAGTCAAGTCAAATTCAAGTTGAATTAAATATTTAACTCGACTCGATTTAAACTCGACTTGATTCAAGTTGACTCAAGTTGACTTGAACAATATTTTTTTATCGTTCAAGAAGAACGATGACGAATTATTCAACTTGAACAATATTTTTTTATCGTTCAAGAAGAATGATGACAAATTGTTCAACTTGAACAATATTTTTTATCATTCAAGAAGAACAATGATGAATTATTCGACTTAAACAATATTTTTTTATCATTCAAGAAGAACGATGATAAATCATTCGACTTGAATGATATTTTTTTATCGTTCAAGAAGAACGATGATGAATCATTTGACTTGAATGATTTTTTTTATCATTCAAGAAGAATGATGACGAATCGTTTGACTTGAACAATTTTTTTTATCATTCAAGAAGAATGATGACGAATCGTTTGACTTGAACGATTTTTTTTATCATTCAAGAAGAACGATGATGAATCGTTCGACTTGAACAATATTTTTTTATCGTTCAAGAAGAACGATGACAAATCATTCAACTTGAATAATTTTTTTTTATCGTTCAAGAAGAATAATGACGAATCGTTCAATTTAAACATATTTTTTATCGTTTAAGAAGAACGATGACGAATCGTTTGACTTAGACAATTTTTTTTATCGTTCAAGAAGAACGATGACAAATCATTTGACTTGAACGATCTTTTTTATAGTTCAAGAAGAACAATGATGAATCATTCGACTTGAATAATTTTTTTTATTGTTCAAGAAGAACAATGACGAATCGTTCAACTTGAACAATATTTTTTTATCGTTTAAGAAGAATGATGACAAATCGTTTGACTTGAATAATTTTTTTTTATCGTTTAAGAAGAATGATGACAAATCGTTTGACTTGAATGATTTTTT